TTACTAAATATTTAATTGGAGCAAACTGGATATTGTTGCCCTAGAATGCAAGGTATATTAAAGGAACACTATAGGGTCAGGAACACACATATTCCTGACCCTATAGTGTTAGAACCACCATTTAAGTGGCTTACCCCCCTCAGCATCCTTTAGAAAGGGTTAAAACTACACTACCACATTACCTTATGTTAATACCTTACGGTCCTGCACCGCCCCCATAGGGAAAGCAGTGGATTGGCTGAGATTGTCAAGGAAGTGGGCAGGGGTGGGGCAAGGACAATCAGTCTCTCCTCATAGAGGTGACTATAGTTTCCCTTTGACCTAACTCCATGGTGGTGTGAGCATTAGTGGTGTGAGGGCTTATTTGCGCATACATCACATTAGTAGAAGTACCCAAGCATTCAAATACCATTAACTTTTACAGCATGTTTTAGCAAATACACAAAACAACAAATTGTCTTGTTTTAATTTACTCACACTTGGAAACACTTCAATACCATTTTTTTGGGATGGGGGAGTAAGGTTATGGTTATATTGACTACATTTTGAGTTAAACAGACTTTAAATAGTTTATCTACTCCAAATAACCATGTTTACTTGTAGTTTAGTGTCTGTGAATAAGAAAACAGAAATACTTGCTTCAGACTTTAGCTTCCAACAAAGAAAAATCTATTTTGAAGTTGAGATCACTGTTGAAGAAGTGTGAAATTATTGGAGTATGAAAAATGGGATCCTTTTATCCTGCCCTTCTGGCTTAAAAAATATCAATACTTGTAACAGGCTTAAAATAAAAATGGAGCAATGATAAGATTAATTCTATAAGGAAGAAGAACAGCGATGAGACTTGAATAAGCAGGAGCACAATGCTTTCTTTTTACATGCTTTGTTCATCTCTGACAATAATCGTGTCTGTCACACTCCATCCTTCTGTGCTCTCTGCTTTAGTCTATTGCAAAGGCGTCTTTAAAGATGTCTGCAATGGTCTGCAGAGTCTAACAAGAGTCAAAGTGGCGAACAGAGCTTAAAACACTCTATGTCAAACAGTGCCGGAAATCAGTTGTGCAAAATGTCAAGTGCAGGTGATATGGAATTCTCAACACTCGCCCCAGTTTGTAAGAATGTAACAAAGTTCACTTTTGTGTGGCAACTGCTCTTATGGGACCTGTAATTCTTTTTTTATCCTTTGTGGCTTATTGTATGATAAACAAGCAGGCATCCATGGGTTCTAATGCAAGAAAAAAGGGGGTCAAGGGCTGCGCTTGAGTAAGAAAATAAAAAGTGTATAAAATCGTATGTTAATAAAATAATCAGTGATAATAAAATCAAATAAAGTTCATCCGGATTTGTGAAAAGTATAAATAAAAATTATAAATAAAAACAGTCTCACTGGTATGCAGTAACACGATAATAATCCTCAAGTATGGCTCTGTCCGTGTAGTAGTTGGTCCATATATGTGAAGATAAAAAACAAAAGAAAAAGCTGCCAATGGTGAAATATTGTATATCCTGATGTGGTATATATTCAAAGGAAATATATTACACTAACATTTGGTGGAGCTTTTTCCCAGCTCTGGTTTGATCCCCACTAACGGATATGCTCGGATGGTCCGTCTGTCCGGCTTGGAATTCCTGTGGTATCGGCTAGGATCTACTTCAGATGTGCGTTAATTCCTTAATGCTTGGAAGATAGGTCCGCCTTTCCAGTATCGGATAATAAGTGTCCACGGAGTATATATGAAACAGCAAATAGTGCTCTCAGTATGAACAACAAAGGAATATCTTTAAGTGAGTTATACTTACAAGAATAGAGCAGATAGGTACTGCTCTATTGCCACAGCGCTGGTGGAATTATCCCCACCTAAGGATTTCTTTGGACGGAATATACTTTCAAGTTAAAAATAAATAAAAATAAAAAAGGGATAGATAAAACTATAAAGTAGTTTGTGATAATACAGAAAAATATATATATAAAAAATTATATATAAAATGCCAGGGGTAAAAGAAAGTGTATAAAATACAATAAAAATAAGTATACAATTGGTCCTAGTATAAAAGGTAACCAAAAATAACTTTTATTGATTAAAATACACTTATTAAAACCATTTACGCATTTCACCTTTGGGGTTTTCTCAAAATGGTAAAAGAACAGTACACTTGGCAAGGAACTGAATATATAAGTTTATAGAAATTGAATTTGGCGCCAAAATTTTTTGTGCACCAGTCACAGACAAGTGTTAAAACCAAACTTTCTATACATTTCAAAATGACATTACAACTTTATAGGTATATTCATATGAGCCTTAATAGGCTTAAAAATTTTTTTTTTTTGAAAACGAAGCTTTAAACAGGGTTTGGAAGGAGTTTCATTATTATTAATCCCGATCACATAACACATCTCAAAATAATGTAAAAACCATATTTGTTATTGCCTAATAAAGCTCAATATATAAAAAAAAAATGTGAAACTAAGCTTTTAAGGGGATTAAATTACATTTTGTTCCGATCACATGATCGGAACGCTGCGCGCATGCGCAAATCGGCTAATAGGCGAAAACACTTCCTGGTATACACTGAGTGCCCAGTGGCCGGCTAGAAACACAATGCTCTATGGGAAATAGAGTCCTGCCAGTCACGGGGTGCTCCTATTAAGGGATACATGCTTCCAATCATATTATAAACATAAAAAACACACTTTTAAAAGTAAAAGCATTTGTTAAAATGCCCCACAAATTTTTGCATAAAGATTAAAATAAAAACAATGGTAGGAATGGTGATAAAAAAAATTATTATAAATAGAAACATAATCTTCTAAGCATAACACAATGATATTGAAATATAAGATCAAAATTGTAACATAAAATTAAAATGGTGATATGATTACATAAAATTAATAAAATAAAATAAAAAGAATATCATAAAAAAATGTGCAAATCAAATTCTGCATTAAGTCCATTTGGTGTTAGGGTCTGTAGCTTATAAACCCATTCCATCTCAGTTTTGCCTAAGATGTTTTTTATATCTCCTCCTCTCCAGGGTAGGGAACATTTTTTTATTTCCATATATTTTAGCATTTTAGGATCTTTATTGTGAATTAAAAAGTGCTTGGATAGAGAGTGATTTAAATAACCATTTTTTATATTCCTACAATGCTCACCTAATCTGACTTTTAAACATCTTGTAGTCATCCCAACGTATTGGAAGCCACATGGGCATTCCAATAGGTAGATAACATTCGTGTTGCATGTAATAAATTCTTTGATTTTAAAAGTAATTTTGGTTTTGTTTGAGGTAAATTCTATTATTTTTGGTGGCATTGTAGGATCAGCTGATTTGCACACAATACAATTTTTACATTTGTGAAAGCCTAAAGATTGGGGAAAGAAGGTTACAAAATTACTGGGTTTGATTTCTTTGGTGAAATTGGTAGTTAAGATAGATTTGACGTTTGGAGCCCCTCTAAAAATTATACTCGGTTTTTCTGGTATAATTTTAGAAAGATTTTCATCATGTTCTAAAATATGCCATTGTTTTTGGATGATCTTTTTGATCTCTTTACTTTTATTGGTATAATTTAAAATGATAGGGAGAGATATTGAGTCATTTTTGGTTTTGGGTTTATACTTTAGAAGCTCATCTCTATTTTTAATCTCATTAATATTTTTGAGTAGGTCTTTTTCTTGGTAGTTTTTCTCTATAAATCTGTTTTTGAGGGCATTCACTTGTTCTTCAAAATTTTCCAATTCTGTGCAATTTCTGCGTAATCTAAGAAATTGGCTTTTCGGAGCACTATCAAGCCACGGTTTGTAGTGGCAACTATTTTTATCGATTACTGTATTGACACAGACTTCTTTAAAAAAGGTTTTTGTGTTTATTTTACCATTTGTTATAAATATATTGAGATCTAAAAAGTGTATTTGTTCTCTACTAAATTCATGGGTTATAATTATGCCCCTGTTATTAGTATTAAGAACATTAAAAAAAGAGATAAGATTGTCTTCTGACCCATTCCAAATAAAAAAGAGATCATCAATATATCTAAAATATGAGACCAGGTTTGCCCTTAAGTTATCTCCATTGTAGATAGCTGTAGATTCCCAATCTGCCATAAACAGATTGACATAGTTTGGGGCAAACCTGGTACCCATAGCAGTTCCTCTTCTTTGGAGGTAAAAGGAATCTAAAAACCAAAAATAATTATTTGTTAAAATAATATTTATACCCTCTAAGATAAAATTGATTTGTTGCTCCGGAATTCTATCTTCCTTTATTAAGATATTTTTAATAGCTTCACATCCAACTTTATGAGGTATAATGGTATAGAGTGATTGGACGTCACAGGTGCGTCCTTTTTGTTTTATCCATGGGTTCTAGCTGAAATAAGCAGAATACATTATGAAGATGTGAAATAAAATGTGCATGAACAATTTTCAGATTTAGTTGATGGTGTTTAAGATTCTTTGCACAAGTAAAATAACTAAAATGTCATAGTAATCTAGTTAAATAGTAATCTAGGTTGAAAAAAAAACTCAAATTCCCCAAGTTCAGCTTTTCAACTTATTTTGTCTTCGTTTTTTACTTTGAGCAAAACTGTAAGTATTGTGTATCTTGTTCTAGCTTCGCATTAAAGATGGATCAAAGTCAATCATTTTTCATTCTTTCATGTGTCTCTATAATTGTGGAGCCATAATCTGACCTAAATGCAAAAAATTAAAAAGTAAAATGAATAAATAAACAACATATACATGCAACCACAAGAAAATAATAAATCAGGTATCAGGGAAAAGTCCATGAGTCCTGTACACCAGTTGGACATTCCAGGGGTGTCCTGAGGGCTTAACCCTAGCTTAAAATCTAAATATGCACAGAATACCCACTTAGCTTACTAGATGTGGGTACGTGTGAACAGGAAAAGTATGAATAGTAAGTAGTGATGTCCCGAACGGTTCGTCGAACAGTTTGCCGCGGTTCGCCACGAACGGTTCGCCACGGACTCCAGTCAGCAGACACATTCCAGCCAATCAGCAGCAGACCCTCCCTCCCAGACTCTCCCACCTCCTGGACAGCTCACTAAGAATGCAGATTCAAAATTGATGCTGTCCAGGAGATGGGAGGGTCTGGGAGGGAGGGTCTGCTGCTGATTGGCTGGAATGTGTCTGCTGACTGGAGTCCACAGTGAACCGTTCGTGGCAAACCGTGGCGAACCGTTCGCGAACCGTTCGCGAACCGTTCGGGGAACCGTTCGGCGAACTGTTCGGGACATCACTAATAGTAAGTGCTGGCAAGTACAAAGTACCTAAAGTATATACAGTACTAAATAAAGGAGGGGATCGCATATCAAAATCCCAAGAAGTGTATAGAGTGAAATAACTAGCCATGTACGGCTACTTTTTTCCCTTTAAAGATTAATATTCTGGGGTCATCCACCTTTATTGTGCTAACCTATTAAAGCATAATAACACGAGCTAAATGGGTGATAACCCTGTGAAAATAAAAATGAAACCAATGTTTAGAGGGTTAAATTCTATAACTGAAAATATAAATCCATAGGGAAAAGTTTCTTAAGTGGGTATTGTGCGCATATTTAGACTATTTATATGCAATGTGGAAGATGTACAGGGTTGTTTCATTGAAGTGAAAATTCAAAGTGATTTTAAAATTTAAGGTGAAATTACCCACACTGGAAGAATTCTCTAAGTCCGCTAACTTTCCTTTCAGCTACTCCGACTTTAAATGTGAAATTCAGTTTGGATTCACTCCGAAATCTCCCTTTAGTAGATAAATACACACATATTTTTGTGCAACTGAATTCACAGTAATCACAGAGGATCATTTACATATAAGAATATACACATGTGCATCTTTTAGAAGGGACACTGCAAGTACATTAGATGCACAAATGTAGAGTTTTATTGGGATTACATATAGTGTGATACATGTCAGTAGCCATGAATAAGTGCACACTAGAATAGGATTGCACCTTTACACGTAATGAACTGCAGAGAAAAAATATGTTTTATTACTTTCTCAAAACTGGATAATGCATTTATCTCTGTTATAGCAAAGACTCAAAGACTCTCAAATCCCTTGTGCAGAACATTGAAGTTATTGGCATTTGCAATGAAATATTTAGCCACTTAAGTCTGCTAGTCAACGGACAGCTCTCAAGCTCCTGTTGAATCAGAATTCCCATATTCTTTAGCCAGATAAATATTGACTTTAACTGATATAGAATACCTACACAATCTACGAAAGACAATGTGTCGGTAAAATCTGTAGTACAGGGTTGGATCATGGGGATCATGTCTGTCTCATTCAAGGTGACTGAGTGTACTCAGCTGAGCAGAAATATTTTTATAATGTTTTCTCCAAAGTAAAGTACGCTTACTAAATAAAGATTGATAAAAAAAATCTTTGATAACACCATAAAAATAAAAGCATTTTGGTGTGTATGTAATGAAAAATGTAGGATATTTAGAAAATGAGACTGCGTACAATTGAACATAGAAGAGTCCATTAAAACCAAGGACTTAGTAAATGAACATAGAAACATAGAAACGTAGAATGTGACGGCAGATAAGAACCATTCGGCCCATCTAGTCTGCCCAGTTTTCTAAATACTTTCATTAGTCCCTGTCCTTATCTTATAGTTAGGATAGCCTTATGCCTATCCCACGCATGCTTTAACTCCTTTACTGTGTTAACCTCTACCACTTCAGCTGGAAGGCTATTCTATGCATCCACTACCCTCTAGGTAAAGTAATATTTCCTGATATTATTTTTAAACCTTTGCCCCTCTAATTTTAGACTATGTCCTCTTGTTGTGGCAGTTTTTCTTCATTTAAATATAGTCTCCTTCTTTACTGTGTTGATTCCCTTTATGTATTTAAATGTTTCTATCATATCCCCCCTGTCTCGTCTTTCCTCCAAGCTATACATGTTAAGATCCTTTAACCTTTCCTGGTAAGTTTTATCCTGCAATCCATGAACCAGTTTAGTATCCCTTCTCTGAACTCTCTCTAAGGTATCAATATCCTTCTGGAGATACGATCTTCAGTACTGCGTACAGTACTCCAAGTGAGGTCTCACCAGTGTTCTGTACAATGGCATGAGCACTTTCTGCTGCTTAAAACTCTCTCTATACAACCAAGCATTCTGGTCTCAAGCTCTAGAACCTGTTACATATGATCTTGTTGAGATCCATGGCCCATGTGTGTCTTGATATGCCAGCAAGGTCTCAGATTATAAATCACTTGTCCTTCAGTCATGTGGTTTATGATGATGTCTACAATAGTGTTTCCCAAGCTAGTTCTCGAGGCTCAACAATGGCTTAGGTTTTGTCTATACAAAAATGAAACAGAATTGGGAATGGACTAATCCTGAACTTTTGATGTGATTTGATTGGAACCTTTTGTCAACAGGCAATTTATTTCTGTAATACATTATGTAGTTAGTGCATTATTTTATGCTAAAGAAGAAGTGCAAAACTAATATTATATACATCAAGCCAACATGACAGTTATATAAAATGTGATGTTCTTGTTTAATCTAGTGGATCACGAGCTTATACATGTACAGATGACAAACAAATATGCAACTATAAGGGAGATACTGTAGGTCTTCATGACAATTCATAATAACTCAGTAAAGCTGGTGTGTGAATGCAATTCAGCCCACATATGACATTCTAAGGGGTCCAAGAAAATCCTTATCTTGAATAGGAAGTTTGCCACCTTGCATACACTCTGTAGGAGGTACACAAATACCAACAAGAAACATAGAACAATGGAGGTGCATACATAGACATTCTCTTTCTCCTCCTATCTATCATTTTATCTACCCCAGTGACCTTTAGTAGTGGATTTTATATACTGTGCCGTGGGTCACCATCTCTGGTGATGGAAGACAGACACTGTGTTTGTGTTTTGTGTTTTGGTCACCCTGTGCCCATTAGTGGTGCAGGATATGTTGAATGTAATGCTTGTTTGTGCCTCTCCCACCCCCTCCACCCCCCCTTTTTCCTGTCCTATTGTTTCCCCAGCAGGACATTGTCCCAGGGACACTGCAGACCAGTTTAATCTAACTGCCCTGTCCCTCCTCAATCTCCCATCACCCCTAGCTATTGTCTGACGCCACCCTTCCTTGTACTATAGTGCTCTTTGTACCCTATTGTATGTAAATGAGGCTGTTGGGGGCATAAAATATGTGTACTATGTCTAGTAAAGTTAGTTGCTGTTTTAACCTTCACCAAGTGTTGTCTGATGTGTGGGCAAAGGGATATAATCTGCTGATGAAAAGGGTGTCCAGAGTTCTAAACACAGTAGCCTGGTCCAGGGTGGAAAAGGCCCTTAGTGATCCCAGTCAAGCCTCGGCAACTGGGTCTGGAGTGCTCCAGGGTCCCTGATAGCTATGAGGAAGCAGACTCGGTGGAAGAACTCGGTCTGAGTACTAGAGCTCTGTTACATATACTATATATGTGAAATGTAAACAAATAGTCTATTTAGTTAGCACATCCTCCTTTACTCCTAAAATAACAAAGGTAAGTTGATGAAGAGTTAATAAGTGGACATATCAAAGTAGCCAAATTGGAGCAATAGAAACAGAATAGATTTCCTGGAAAGCCAGGGAAATATATAGGTGGATTGGCGCTATATCTAAAGGTCAAGCGGTGCAACAACTCCCAAGTGCCAAAGAATCACCAAACAGCACTTTAAGCATATATCATTGATAAAAACACAGAAAAGAAATAGGGAGGTGCAATGAATAAAATAAACCAGTATTATACTTATATCAGGTGGATCTCTGAATCAACCTAAAAATAAAAAAATATACATAGCATAATACTGTAACACATTAGCAGAATTAATCGGAGGTAATGGGTCACTCACTCAGAAAATACCTGATTATCAAACATCATTGGAGATAGCCAGAATAAGCTGATTATTCACAAGCTTTTACAGCAAGAGCCTGCTTTCCAAGGCTCTGCAGATCGTGAGTGACCCATTACCTCCGATTAATTCTGCTAATGTGTTACAGTATTATGCTATGTATATTTTTTTATTTTTAGGTTGATTCAGAAATTGGAGCAATAGCTAAATAGTTTGAGTGTGTTTCAATTTGTTTGTTATGGCCTTCTTTTCTTGTTCATCATTAATTCACTGTCACTCTCTGAATGTATATTTTCTCTTAATCCTCCCATCAACCCTAATTCTTTTGGGGGGGAGGGGTGGAAGGGAGGGCAGTCCAAATTTCTGGGTGCTGTCTCACTGTCCTGCATCATTAAACACACTCACAGTGTTCAGTGGGCACTAGGACCATGCTGGGAGCTCTCTTCATAGTTCTGGTTGGTGGGATGAGCAAAGCAGCCTGGCAGTGGGCAGGCCCATCTCTTTCTTTATAGCCATCACTAGTGACTCAAGTCACATCACTGATGCCACCTCCCCGGGGCCCCGCCACCCTGTCCTAATTGTTGGAAGGTTTACAAACAGTGTAAGCATTTACATCTACTACACAATTCTGCCGTATACGTTCCTGTGTCTTTTGAGGAGGCACTGTGTGGTTTTTATTCACTACTCCTGTTGTTATCCTTGCCCATTTACAAAGATGTGGGATAAATTAACAGAAAACTATAAACCAGCAAATCTTTTAATGACAGCTTTCACGAACATATATCTGCTAAGTAATGAACTGCAATGAACAATGAATTTGCAAAACAATTGATAAAATAGGTAAGCCATAAATAGAATTGGTGTTTTTTCCAAATACTCTATTTTGCTGTAAATCGTGAAGAAACCAAGCTGTCAGTTTAATGTATAAACCAATATGTTTGGTTCGTTCTTCAACTTGTTATAAGAAATATCTGGATTGATGCACCAAGCACTAGTTGTAACTGGGTTGATATCCAGTTGGGTTGACAAAATTTAGAGTAAAACACCCGCTTTTTAGTTTTACAATTTGCACTCATTGGACGTCACTGTAATTATTTCTATTGACTGTCAGGACACCATACTCCACTAATTCATGATTAATCCATTAGTGTAGATGAGTTTAACCCTGGTAGGTAAGTAAATAATGTTAGTTTTTGCAATTTAATTTTACACCACCAAAGGCACGCCATCCTCCTCAGTGTTTACATATTATTAAACCGGCAGCTGAGATGG